AGTAATCTCCAATAATTTTCTTAACTTCCTTTGCTCTTACTCTTCTCTTTCCCATTTTTTATTTTGTTTCTTATTTTGATAATTTGGGTTTTTGTCTCTCCTTTTATTTAATTATATCTGTTAACTGTTTTATCAGTTTCTTTGAGCCTTTTATTATTTTGCTTATTTTCATTCTTACAAATATCCACTTTTTGCTATTTCTCTTTTTGCTATTTCATGTTGGTATATTAGCTTGTTCTTTTTCCAAGTCTTTAAAATGCAGATTCAGATTCAACTCATCTCCCTTTCTAATTGAATTCTGTATTCTGCACTATATATTTGCCTCTGGGTACCACTCCGGCGACATCCCAGACATTCTGAGAAGAGTATCTGTATAATCATTATATTTCAAGTAATCTATTTAAAAATAATTTCCTCTTTCATTGATGTATTATTTAATAGATCCCACAGAAGCCTGTGCCTTTTACTCATAATATCACCATTTACAACTAACTTTATTACCTTTTGATCCACAAATGTAGTGCATAAAATATTTCTTTTGGGACTTGGATGTGGTTGATTTTTGTATCTATTCCAAATGTATTTGGGGGAAAAAATGTATTCTTTGTTTTCTGTTTGTTTTTTTTTCATTGAATTCTCTCTATAACTATTAGATGTAATTAGTTTAGTCTTCATCTGACTTGGTAACTTTTTTGTTATTTACCTTTTTCTTGGTGTTATTGTAGATTGACAGAGAAATATTAAATGAATAATTAAATTAATATTTTTGTTTTACCTTGCAGTACTGAAGAATTATTGAGTGTATGTGTGTATATTCACACACAATACACATGCATATACATATATGTACACACACAATTGACTATTATTCAAAAAGAAAAGAAAACTAGTAGTATAATATAATGTCCTGGTCTATTTTATAAATTATTTGCAACATGAATGATTTTATATTAAAATTTTCATTTAAATTTATATGGATCTTTTTCATTAAGCATTTCTTATAACAATTCCATAATCCTTTTAAAAATTTCATTGGCATGTTAGTACCATTTACATTTTGCATTACATTGGTTAAATACCTTTTCTACTACCACTGTTTGTTAAATATTATTAAGCTTATCAGAAGAAAATCTATTCCTTACTTTTATAATTGCTGTTGATTCAAAATTAAACAGAATTACATTATCTTGTACTTTTAACTATAAAGGTTTCTTTAACCATGGATTTTCCCCTAAACAATTGGAGGAGGTGGAGCGAAGATGACAGAGTAAAGGCAGGGACTCACGTGAGCTCTCTCCCAAACCCCTCCAAATACCTTCGAGTAATAACTCTAAACAAATTCTAGAGTGGCAGAACCCAAATGAAACAAGCTTGAAACAGTTTTCCAGCCCGAGACAACTTAGAAGGTCATCAGGAAAGGTCTGTTGCATCACAGTGAGAGAGGAGCCTAGTCTAGTTCAGGCTGTATCAGCACAGACTGGGCCCCAGCAAAGTAGGAACAGGTCTCTGAGCGACTGAATCAGTAGCAGTAGTGGCAGTTTCCAGACCTTTCAGCCCACAGATGGTAAGGGAATTGGACATCGGGGCAGAAGGAGATTTACAAGGGTCGCTTTGCTGGCACCTAGGGCAGGACTCTGTTGCATTGCCTATACTTGGATCTGGATCTGAGTCCTGGTTCTTAGTCTTACAGCAAAAAGTAATACTAGCACAGCAGGGCTTGCCACTGCAGGGGAGCAAGGACCCTGGTCACAATTCCAGGGTTGAAAAGAGTGCTTATGCTCACTCACAAACCAGTACACAGAACAGGAGAGCAGTAAGCACACCTCTCCCTAGATCATACCATCCTGGAAGGGCCAAAAACTTACAGGTCCCCAGAATTTTCTCTAAAAACAGCTGCACAAAAAACCTGAAGTTTGGGATGGTGCTCCCTCCACTTGGGAAGCAGAGCTTCACTTTAGAATAGAGTTAAAAGTCAAGAAATTGGCTGGAAAATGAGCGAACAACAGAAAAAAAATTCTGACCATTGAAAGTTACAATGGTGACAAGGAAGATCAAAACACATACTCAGAAGAAGACAACAAAGTCAAAATTCCTGCATCCAAAGCCTCAAAGACAAATATGAATTGCTCTCAGGCCATTGGAAGAACTCTAAACGGATTTTTAAAATCAAGTAAGAGAGGCAGAGGAAAAAATTGGGGAGAGAAATGAGAGTGATGCAAGAAAATCATGACAAAAGAGCCAACAGCTTGGGAAAGGAGACACACACAAAAAAATACTGAAGAAAATAACACCTTAAAAAACAGATTAGGCCAAATGGTAAAAGAAGCACAAAAATCCAATGAAGAGAAGAATGCCCTGAAAGGCAGAATTGAACAAATGGAAAAAGATATACAAAAATTCACTGAAGAGAACTCCTTAAAAAGTAGAATTGGCCAAATAGAAAAGGAGGTACAAAAACTCACTGAAGAAAATAATTCCTTAAAGGTTAGAATTTGGCAAGTGGAAGCTAATGATTTTATGAGACATCAAGAAACAATCAAACAAAATCAAAAGAATGAAAAAAATGGAAGAAAATGTGAACTATCACATTGGACAAACCACTGACCTGAACAATAAATCCAGGAGAGGTAATTTAAGAAATATTGGACTACCTGAAGGTCACTATCGAAAAAAGAACCTAGACATCATTTATCAAGAAATTATCAAGGAAAATTATCTTGATATTCTAGAATCAGAGAGGGTAAAATAGAAATTGAAAGAATTCACCAGTCACCTCCTGAAAGAGATCCCAAGATGAAACTCCCAAGAATATTATAGCCAAATTCCAGACCTTCCAGATCAAGGAGAAAATACTGCAAGCAGCCAAAAAGAAACAATTCAAATATCATGGAGCCACAGTCAGGATAACACAAGATTTAGCAGCTTCTACATTAAAGGATCAGAGGGCTTAGAATATGACATTCCAGAGGACAAAAGAGCTGGGATTACAACCAAGAATCACCTACCCAGCAAAACTGAGTATAATATCTCAGGGGGGAAAACATGGACATTCAATGAAGTAGAGGACTTTCAAGTATTCCTGATGAAAAGACCAGAGTTGAATAGAAAATTTGACTTTCAAATACAAGATGCAAAAGAAACATAAAAAGATAAACAGGAAGGAGAAATCATAAGGGATTTAATAAAATAAAACTCTTTATATTCCTATTTATATATGATATTTATAACTTCTAAAAACTTTCTCATTATTAGGGCAGTTAGAACAAGTATACATAGACAGAAAGCAGAGGTGTGAATTGAATGTGATGGTATGATTTTCTGAAAAAATACGATTAAGGGATAAAAAAGATGAATGTACTAGGGGAAGGGGAAGGGGAGAGGTAGAATGGGATAAATTATCTGACATCAAAGAAGCCTGAAAGAGAATTTACAGTGGAAGGGGAAATGGGGGAAATGGGGAGGGGAGCACATGAACCTTACTCTCATTGGAATTGGCTCAAAAGGGGAATAATATACACACTCAGTTCGATGTAGAACTCTATCTTACCGTACAGACAGTAGGAAGGGAAGGAGGTAAGAGTTGGGGTGGAAGGGCTGATAGAAGGGAGGGCAGTTTGAGGGAGGTAAAAATCAGGAGCAAAACACTTTTGAGAATGGACAGGGTAAAAGGAGAGAGACAGAGAGAGTAGGATAAACAGGGGAGAAATAGGATGGAGGGAAATATATAGTTGGTAATCATTACTGTGAAAAAAAATTTATAGTGAATTTCTCTGATAAAGACTTCATTTCTCAAACATAGAAAACAAATTTATAGAAATAAGAGCCATTCCTCAGTTGACAAATGGTCAAAGGATATGAACAGGCAGTTTTCAAAGTAATCAAAGCTATCTATAGTCATATAAAAAATGTTCTAAATCACTATTGATGAGAGAAATGCAAATTAAAACCACTCTAAACTACTACCTCAAACCTATCAGACTGACTAATATGACAAAAGGAAAATGACAAATATTGGAGGGAATGTAGGAAAATTAAAACAATAATGTACCATTGGTCAAGTTGTATATGGATTATTGTTCTGGAGAGCAATTTGGAACTATGCCCAAAGGGCTATAAAACCATGCCTACCCTTTGACCAAGCAATACCACTACTAGATTTGTATCCCAAGGAGATTAAAAAAAAAAAGGAAAAGGATCTATGTGTACAAAAATATTTATAGAAACTCTTTTAGTTGTGGCAATGAATTGGAAACTGAGGGGATGTTCATCAACTGGGGAATGGCATGAACAAGCTGTTGTATGTAATTGTAATGGAATACTATTGTGCTTTAAGAAATAATGAGCAGAGGGGCGGCTAGGTGGCGCAGTGGATAGAACACTAGCCCTGGAGTCAGGAGGAGTTGAGTTCAAATCTGACCTCAGACACATAACACTCACTAACTGTGTGACCTGGGGCAAGTCACTTAACCCAACTGCCTCACAAAAAAAAAAGTATTAAGGAACATAAATGAAAGATAAGAATACAATTTCCAGTCTCAGACACATGACACTTACTAGCTGTGTGACACTTAACCCCGATTGCCTCACCAAAAAAAAAAGCAAAAAAAAAAAATAAATAAAAAATAAAAACAAGAGTTAAAATAGTTTGGGGATTTGCTTTGGAATTATCCTATTCCTCCCCTTTAACATTTCTATATTTACACCAATAAAATCATGAGAAACTGATAGAGAAAACCACTTATAATCACTACACCTATCTATTATTTGGGCATTAACCTCTCATGATAGAAATGAATGAGTACATGAATGAAGAAAATTTTTCAGTAATTTAAACAACTCTCTTAAGATTTTAAGTTGCAGAGAAGGTGCTGACCTGCATTAGTAGATGGAGTTCACTCATATAGGATCTCCCTTGAAATCATAGGTCCAGTCCCCACCATCATATTAATATCACTACCCAATATTCCACCCCTCCATCTCTCACCACCTAGTGGACTCACTGTGAGAGCTGATGTACTCAGGTGTCTTGCCTGGACTCAGAGGAAGGGCTTCTTCATAGTCATCTTCTGGAGGAGGATTAGTGGGAAGTGGTGGAGGAGGATCCGATGACTAAAAGGAAAAAATGAAGATTAAGATAATGTAAACAAAGAAAAGGAGACTGGCATGGCAGGGAGGGGGAGACAACAAGGGGTGGGAATGCCAGTCCCAATGCAAATCTAGAACTTGGTGTCAGGAGTGGCAGGACCTTGGTGCATTAGGGATCAATTAATCAACTGAACAATAAGTGTCTATTAAGCACCTACACTGTGCCAGGCACTGTGCCAAACACTAGAGATACAAAAAGAAGAAAAAGTACCTGCCCTTAAGGGGCTTACAATCTAGTGGGGGAGACAAATGAAATGTGAAAACAAATATATACAAAACAAACTATATACAGGAGAGGGAAGGCACTGTATGGAAAGGAATTTAGAGATCACAACATCTATTTTACGGAACAGAAACCCAAGGCCTGGGGAGAGGAAGTGATTCACTCACTGTCATACAGTGTGACCGCGCCAAAGACCAGATTCAAACCCCAATCTCCCAGCTCCCAGTGCAGGAAGCTTCATACTGCTTTAGTGCTATTTTTCATTTGAATGATGGCCTTCCATCTCCAGGGAGCCCCTTTTACCACAATACATCTATTCCCAGGTAAATTCATGAATAATAATAAAAAACAGTTGCTATTTCTCTAAAGAGTCCTTTATAGTTAGTTACAAAAGTCTTTGCCATAGATCCTCTAAGTCTTCACAATTGCCCTGTGAGGAAGGCAGGGCAGGGATTAATATCCCCATCTAACAAATGAGGAAACAAAAGCTCAAGAAAAGAGGAAATGACTTGTCCAAGGTCACAGGGCCAAAGTCAGTAGAAGGTAATTATAACTCTTCAGCCTAAAGACTTCACTCTATGAAATGGAAGGAGAGCTCAGGTCATGGAATCGCAGCATTTCCATGGGAAGATTCCAGAGCTGCCACTTGTAGAGAGTGCAAGAATAGGACAAGGAAGGCTTGGTGAGACAATAGTTCTTGTGAAAAAATTCTGAGGTTCTTGAAGGACTGCATACTCAACAAAAGCCAGCAGTGTGATAGTGTGATATGACAGCTAAAAAAACTAAGCTGAGTTTAGGCTACATTAATATAAATACTATATTCAGAATCTTTTGCTGTTGAGTCATTTGAGTAGTGTCTAACTCGTCATAAATACTGGAGTGGTTTGCGATTTCCTTCTCCAGCTCACTTTACAGATGAGGAAACTGAGGCAAACAGGGTTAAGTGATTTGCCCAGGGTCATACTAATAAGCTAATAAGTGTCTGAGGCCATGGTTTGAACTCAGGAAGATGAGTCTTCCTGACTTTTCAGAGCTGGCACTCAATCCACTGTGCCACATAGAATCAGGGATTAAATTACTAAATTAACTTACTAAATTCTGCAGCCCTTTGCCCCAGTCAGACCACATATAGAATATTGTGTTCCATTCCAGGCATCATTGCCTTGCTTAGAAAGGAAGTTGACAAACTAGCACATATCCTAGAGGATGACCAGGATGTTGGGGGGACTGGAGACTATGCCTTGTGAGCCTCTGTTGAGAGGAACTGAGAACATTTAGCCTGGAAAAAAATAAGAGGAGGTGGAAGGAAAAATGATAATTGCATTAAAGTGTTTATAGGGCTTTCAACTAAAAAAAGGATTACATTCATTCTGCTTGGTCCCATAGGGCAGAAGTAGGAACAATGGATGGAAACTGCAAAGAAATAGATTTCAGCTCAGTGTAAAAAACAACTTCCTGATAAAGCTGTCCCAAAGTGGGATGGGCTACTTTAGGAGATAGTGAGTTCCCCATCCCTGGAAATCTTCAAGATCATTGATCCATTGTCAGGGACATTAGAGAGGGGACTCCTGCTCAGGGAGGCATGGGTTGGATTAGGCGTCCTATGGCAACCCTTCTAGTTCTGAGATGCAGTGAGTTCAGGTCTGATACAGTTAGCAATACTTCCAATGACAGAACTAGAGCCCATCCTTACTGTCAAGAGGAGAGATTGACACCAAAACACTCTAGTCCCTAACTCACTTTTCTCGGGAACTGGCTCGTTGCTGGCTCCAAGCTGTCTCTGTCAGCCTCCCCATCATCCTCATGCATGTTCTGAAGGTCACTCAGGGCACAGTCTAGGGAAGATTCAAACCATTAGACAGAGATTGAGCGTAGTATGAATTCCAAATTTTAAATCTCAGCTAAAATACCACATGAAGGCTTCCCTTGACCTCCCTGATTTGTAAAGACTTTCCATTCTGATCTCACATAGCTTGTTTTGTACCTTGCTACAATTAACAAAAATCTATTTTTTCTCCCTCCAACTTCTTTAAGTTAAAAAAAAAGGGAAGGAAGCTTCTATAACAAATATGCATAGGCAAGCAAAACAAATCCCAACACTGGCCATTTCCAAAAAAAAATGTGCCCTTAGTCAATCAGCTCTCTATCAGGAGATGGTTAGCATGCCTCACTGAAGAATGTAACATATAATATCATGAATATTATAATTATGATTTTATACAATCATTTTATAATATAATAACTATATTGTAATATAGTTGTTGTTATAATATAATAACTATATTATTATATAGTTATTCTAATTATATAGTTAGGGTTACATCTTTACATCTTATCCTTCCACCAAACTGTAAGCCTCATAAGAATGGGAACCATGCCTTATCTACATTTTTATTTCTTCTAGACCAAATATAGCTCTCTGCAAAAAAAAAAAAAAAAAGAGTTTATTAAACTTTGTTGAATCAACTAATAAAACAACTTATATTCCACCATAGCTACATCTCCCCTTCATAGTCTCTATTACAGCCAAATGGTCTACTCTCCATCCCATTCTCTGCTGTCTCTTATGTCTGATCACACTGCTCCCACCAAAGCCTAGAAATGGATTCCCCAACCCCCCATCTCTGCTTATTGAAGTCTTTCTCCTTCTTCAAGGTCCAACTCAAGTGCTATCTTTTCTAAATAGCCTTCCCTGATTCTCCAGCCTGCATCTCCACCAATCACAGTAAAATGATCTCTCCCTCTGCTGGGTTCTCCTAACACTCTGCCTAGACTTTTCCTTTTCTCTTATCTCATTTTCTATTGTATTATAATGATTTTTTGCATATACCCAATCAATCAATAATCAATTAGCATTTATTAATTGCCTACCATGTGCCAGACTTATAGGGCTAAGGCGTAGAGATATAACAGATTAAAAAAAAATCAAACAGTCCCTCTCTGTTCTACTTGAAATTGGATGTAAACCCCCATTCTATTACTAGTGCCTTGAAAGCAGGGTCTTTATCATACCTACCCCCACCAAACCTTAAAACATTATGTAAATGTTATTATTTTTTAAAAATCAATGTTTGTAAGCCCAACACCTAACTCAAGACCTTGTATATAACAGGAACATGACAAACATTGGATGCATTGAGTTAAAAGTTACAAATAAGAGGAACCTCTTGAAATCATCTCTTCCAATACACTTCATTTCATAGATTAGGAAGCTGAGGCCCACAGAGGGGAAGGGGTTTATCCAAGGTAACATAGAGTGGCAGATCTCAGAGGATCATAGTCTGATAGCTCCAGAGCTAGAAGTGAAGCCCAGGGAATAGCAGGTAGGATCAGAGGCAGGGTATGAACTCAGGTCCTCTGACTCCAAAAACATTTCCTGTCTCTCTAGGTCAGGGTTTTTTGAGCTGCTCCAATATTTGTCCCTCAGTTTACCCTGACGTGAACCAAACACATATCCATTCTTCTTTTAAATTCAAAACTAGGTTTCCTTGGGTCCTAATAAATTTGTCCAAAAAGCCTGAATTCATCCTTGCTCTTCAAAATGGTTAAATGCTAATTATAAGGAGTGCTATTTAATAGAAAGAACACTGAACTTGAAGCCAGAAGATTGGGGGCTTCTAAGGCTGGCTCTGTTGTTGACTTGCTATGTGACTTTGGACAAGTCACTTGGACCTCTCTGTTAAATGAGAGGGTTAGAATTGGTTATCTCTAAGGTCCCTCTCTCAGCTCTGACTTATCTATGAGATACTCTCACACAGAGGATAAGGCAGGAGCCACCTGGGCATTTCAGGGAACCGGAGAGGAGGACATGAGTTGTGTGTTTGAAATACGTACCAAATTCTTCAAAAAGCGACTCCACAAAGCTAGGCCCAGAGTGCAAGTCTGCTGTGTTCATATACATGTAAGATATCTCCTTTCCTGCAAAGAAGAATAGTCACAGAGGAGGGAAAGAATTCCTCTCACCACTGCCTTAGGTAAAAAGAAGTTAGAGCCACCCCCACCCCCACCCCCAGACTCTGTACAAAGTTAGGAAACCCTCCCTCCACATCCACCTGGGATCAGGCAGAGAGATGGGACACAGGCGACTTAGGGAGATGGAAGTAGCCTAGTGCAGTGGAAAGCACACTGGAGAACTAGATTCTAGTCTTGACTGTCAGTAATTCACCTTCTGATTTTGTGCAAGTGACTTTTCCTTTCTAGGCCTCAGTTTCCTCAATGTAAAATGGGAGGGCTGGTTGAGATGCTCTCTAAGACCCATGTTAACACTAACATTCTAGGTGTCCATCATTTTAGTTTTGTTACATTACGCTAGACCTGAATACACATACATTCCTTTAACCAGAGGTGGCCTGACTTGGTATCCTAGAAAAGATGGCATGCTTTGAGTCAGGATACCTGGGGCTCAAGTCTTGCCTCTGCTTGCCAAGAGCTGGGAGGATCTAGGAGTGGGAAGGGGCCTCAAGGGTCATTAAGCCCAGACCCAGACCTGAGCAGGAATCTTCTTCCTCCCAAGTAGTCATCCAGACTTCACTTGAAGACCTTCAGAGATGAGTTTATTACTGCTGAAGGCAGCATCATTTCACTTTTGAACAGTTCTAACAGGATGTTTACCCCTATAGAAAGCCAAAAGAGCAATACTAATTGCTCATATTGATCTAGCACTTTGATGTTTATAAAGCATTCTATCCTACATTATTTTATTTGATAAACACTATGACTCTGTAAGATAGGTGCTATTACTATCCCTATTTTACAGGTGAGAAAACTGAGGCTCAAAGGTTAAGTGACTCACTCAGGCTCACACAGCTAGCAACTGTGCTGCCTCATATTTCATCAGCTTCTACTGTCTGATGCTCTCTATGCTCTGAGAGTCAAGCAGAACAAATCTAATTCCTGTTCCACATAACAGTCAAATACATGAAGACAATTATGTCTCCCTTTATCTACATGATAGCAGGGAATATGAAGAATGGGCATGTCTTAGTCTATTCTTGGGGTACTGTATTTTGAGGTGATGTAGAAATGGAGAAACTGGATTAACTGGTCCTTTAAAGTATTCCCTTGGTTGAGAGGAAGGCCGTTACTCAACAAGACAGTGAATAGTATATGGAAATGTTTTGCATGACTACACATGTATAACCAATGTCAAGTTGCTTGCCTTCTCAAAGAGGGTGAATGGGGAGGGAGGAAGGGAGAGAATTTGGAACCCAAGGTTTTAAAAACAAATGTTAAAAATCATTTTTACATGCAACTGGGAAATAAGATATACAGGCAATGGGGTATAGAAATCTATCCTGCCCTACTGGAAAATAGAAGGGGAAGGAGATAAGAGAAGGGGTGTGTGATAGAAGAGAGGGCAGATTGGGGGAAGGGGTATTCAGAATGCACACTGTCTTGGGGTGGGGGGAGGGGAGAGATGGGGAGAAAATTTGGAACTCAAAATCTTGTGGAAGTAAATGTTGAAAACTAAAAATAAACTAATTTAAAAAAAAGACAGTGGCGGGGCAGCTAGGTGGCACAGTGGATAGAACACCAGCCCTGAAATCAGGAGGACCTGAGTTCAAATCCGGCCTCAGCCCAAACACTTGACACTTACTAGTTGTGTGACCCTGGGCAAGTCACTTAACCCCAATTGCCTAAAAAAAAAAAAAAAAAAAAGACAGTGAATAGTATGGATCTCATTTCACTGGGTTTATTAGTAGTAACATAGAATTTAGAGATGGAAGGAACCTTAAAGACCATTGAAGCCAAACTCACTTTATAAAAGAGAAAAAAAACTGAAGTCCAAAAAGTGGAAGGGCCTTCCCAATTAGAATCCATCGTTTGGACCTGGAAGGGCTGAGCCCATGAATGAAATGCAGACCAGTGCATCTAAGAGACCTTCTGAAATTAAAGAATGCCTACAAAAGGTAAAATGATAAGATCCTTCATAATAGTTTACAGCTCTGGAAGGGGAAGAGGGAAACTACTCTGGAGAAAAGAAGTTGGATAATCTGTAGCAGAGGATATACAAATAAGAGATGACATAGAATAAGGCCCTTCTCAGCCCAGACCATGTAGCCCATACCTCACAGTAGCTTCAAGGCCTAGAAAATCATGTGCGTGTCACCATCATTCTCCCTATCTCCATATTAGCAACTGGATGTTAACTTTGACTCATCATCCAAACCTCATCAGTTATCAAATTATACTGGATTCTGCTTCCGCCGTATCCTTCCCATTTCTTCTGTATTTTCATCAGTACCATTCTAGTAGAGACATCCTCATTATCCCCCACCTGGATTACTGCAATAGCTTCCTAATGGGTCTTCCCATCCCTACTCTTATCTATTCAACTCTATCCTTCACAACCCAATCAGAATAATAATTTTTCATGGGCATAGATCTGATAACATTAATGCTATGCTCAAAAATCTTCAGTGCCTCCCTACCGCTTATCAAGTGAGGTTCAAATTTCTCTGTCTGGTATTCTAGCCCTTACTCTCCTCCATTTATTCTATGCCCCATACAGGGTGACTGGACCATCCTCTGAAGACTTCTATACTCACCTGACTTCTGGTTTATTTTAATCTCTACAACCAGAAGCTGGCCCTTCCCACTCTTCATTTACACATCTTTTAAAGCCCAACTTGAAGCCCATCTCCATGATGGTTTTTCTTATCCCCTTAGGCTCTTGAAGATATCAAGTGATTATTTTGCTGAGTCAGCACATTAATTAATGGGACAGCCCAAATTATGAGGAGCTTTCACAGGCAGAGAGAAAAGGAGGGACTGACCTGGAAGAGGCTGTAGGTTTTTCAGAATGGTTGAGACAGCCATTTTCTTCTCTAAGGCAGCCTCACTCAGGGGCTCATGGTCCAGAAGACTGAGCAATCCCGTAAGCTCAGGAAGGAGCTGCTCCAGCACTTAAAAAAAAAAAAAAAAAGGACAGAAGATACAAGTTGATGGTGATGGTTCCTGATGGCAGGGCCCTGGGTGTGTGACAAGGAGGCATGGGGACCAGGGTTTCTGTTTCTTCTATGGGATTCCCCTCCTTCCATACAGAGAAGGTGCCCCTGACACAGGATACAAACAGTGAAGGAGCACAGTCAGGAATCAGCAATAGCTTCTTAAGCGCAGGGCAGGGCTGGACAGACTGAGCACATGATGCTCAAGAGGGAGGTTTGACAGCCTCAGGTTTGGAAGCAGCAAAAGCAGAATTGTTGAATCTTAGGGTTGAAAATGTCAGAGCAGGAACATTGTCTACCACATTCTTGCTTAGTAATCATTCAGACTCCACCCTGAAACCCCTAGCGAGTTTGTACTTTTTCATCTTCTCTTATGGCGTAATATTCTATTACTCTATATTTATATTTGTGTAGAAGTTCTCAAATTGTGACTTACTTCGTTTCCAATTCTTTACTACTATGAAAAGTGCTGCTATGAATACTTTGTGTATATGGAACTTTTTATTTTTCTACATTTGACCTCAATGGACCGTATGCTTAGCAATAGGGTCTCTAGATCAAAAGGGACATGGACATTTTAGTCCCCTTATATTCCCCTCTTTTAGCTTCATTCACTTGGCCTGATTCAGTTTCACCAAGAGTGTATCAATGTGTCTCTTTTCACAAGGCACCTCCAATATTTATTATTTCAATCTTTTGTTATCTTTGCCAATTTGCTGGATATGAGGTGAAATAAATACATTGTATTTCTCTTATTGGTAAAGATTGGGAGCAATATTTCATGTGGTTATTAGTAGTTTGTAATTGTTATTTTGAGTATAATATGTGCTCCTTTGAGGTCTTACGTGGTGGGGAATTGTTCTTTTAATTCCCTGTGTATTACCAGTTAGTCAGTCAGTCAGTAAACATTTATTAAGTGCTTACTATATGCCAGGTATCCCCCCCCCACTTTTTTTGGGGGGGGGGCAAAGATACTGGAGTAGTTTGCCTTTTCCTTCTCCAGGGGACTAAGGCAAACAGAGGTTAAGTGATTGCCTAGGGTCATGCAACTAATAAATATCTGAGGCCATATTGGAGCTCAGGTTTTCCTGACTCTAGGCTGAATGCTCTATTCACTGAGCTGCCTAGCAATCTCCAACTTATCAACAACCTTGCTTAAATGTGACTTTCAGAAATGAGCATGATAGGTTGGAAGAGGGAAGAGATGAATGAGGACCTTCCTTGTTTTGGAAACTAAGCCAGTAATTAATGTACTGTAAGATACAAGTAAAGGACATCATGGCATAATGGAGAGACCTGGCCTCTATCAAGTCCTGCCTCTGGCACATAATGGCTGTGTGACCCAGGGCAAGTGTTCTAGGCAACTCTTTAAGACTCATGAATTGTTGACATACATTGGTAAAGGGAGTTTCTTCATTTGGGAGTTTCCTCTATCATTGAAATTATGGGTCTAGGTTCTTTCCCTAAGATCAGGTTAGTTTTTTTAACTATCATGTCATATGATTGACTTATATTGAGCTTACAGTCTCCAAAAATCTTTAGACAACTCTCAGAATAATTAGTACCTCTAAGCCTCTGCTCTCCTTTTCTCCTTCTGTTTCTTCTCTCCTACCCTTTTCTTGTTATTGGCACCAAAGAACCCAATCAATCAGTCAATAAGCACTTAATAAGCATCTACCACGTTTCTGGTCCTGGGTTAGGCCCTGGGGATACACAGGAAAAACAAAAACCGTCCCTGTTCTTAAGGAGATTTGTTGTTGTTGTTGTTGAGTTGTGTCTGACTCTTGGCGACCACATTTGTGATTTTCTCGGCAAAGATCCAGTAGTTTGATATTTCCTTTTCCAACTCATTTCACAGATGAGAAAACTGAGGCAAATAGAGTTAAGTAACTTTTTGCCCAGGGTCACATAGTTAGTAAGTATCTGAGGCTGAATTTGCACTATTCACTGCACATCACTTTGCTGCCTTGAACTACAGACCTACTGATAGGGCTGTTGTGAGAGAAGCGCTCCGTGAACTTCGAAGTAGAGCCAAAATGAGAGTTATTATTACCTCTTCGACCTGAACTTCTACCACCCTGTTCACATGACCTCCACTATGGCCAGACTAAATTATATGTCACAAATATTCCCAGCACAGTGCCTTTTCTCACTGTTCCCTTGACTTGGACTCCCTTTCCCCTTCTCTCCACTTTGCTAAGCCTTATGTTTTGCGCAAAGCATCATGATTCAGTGGGAAGCGCACTGGACTCTGATCAACACAAAGACCAGCCATCTTTCCAGAGGCGACCAGTGATGAAGAATGCTACCCAGAATAAATACAAAGAAAATAAATACTAGTTCGAAAGAGAAGACACAAATAACTGAGAGGATCAGGAAAGGCTCCCTGTAGAAGAAGGTGGTGCTTAAGCTGGGTCTTCTAGGAGGAGAGGGATTCCATGAGGCAGAAATGAAGATATGATGCCCAGTATGGGGAACAACCAGTTAAACGGCACAGAGATGGAAGGTGGAGTCTATCTTGAGTAAAGAAAAGGAGAATTTGGCTGGATCAAAGAGAAGAAGAGCAATGTCTGATGAGATTGGAAGGGTAGGTTGGGGTCAGGCTACAAAAGGCTTTAAAAGCTAAGCAGAGAGGGGCAGCTAGGTGGTGCAGAGGATAGAGTACCGGCCCTGGGTCAGGAGGACCTGAGTTCAAATCCGACCTCAGACTGACACATAACACTTACTAGCTATGTGACACCCTGGGTAAGTCACTTAACCCCATTGCCTAACCAAAAAAAAAAAAGCTAAACAGAGGAGCTTATACCAGGAGTGGGGAACCTGTGGCCTCTAGACCACATTCAGCCCTCTAGGTCCTCAAGTGCCACCCTTTGACTGAATCCAAACTTCATGGAACAAATCCCCTTAATAAAAGGATTTGTTCTATAACACTTGGACTTAGTCAAAAGGCCACACCCAAGGACCTAGAAGGCCACATGTGGCCTCAAGACTGCAGGTTCTCAAAGAAATGAGAAAACAACTGCTTGGGAATGTGAATTTACAGAAGTAAATGACAATCTGGAAAAAGAGAAGCAAAAAGCAATAATGTTACAAGATAGTACAAATTTTCAAATAAGGAAACCAAGAGTCATAGAGTTGGAAGTGTCTTGCCCAGAATCAGACTTCTAGTAAAGATCAACCCAAGTCTCCTGACTCCACATCACATTATTTCCATCCTATAGTTTTCCTCATCAGGAAGAACTTCATTTTTTGCCCTAAATATTTTCTCCTTCCTCACTTCTGCATCCTAGAATTCCTAGTTTCCTTCAAAGTTGAGTTCACACATCACACTACATGAAGCCCTTCCACATCTCCCTCTCCAGCTATTCATGCTCTTCCTCCAAACCTTCCCCTCTCCTATCTTGAATTTACTTGGCAAGTACTTATACACATGGTCAAGGAGAATGTAATCTCCTCAATGTCAATGGCTGTTTCATTCTTGTCTTTGTTAATCAATGCTTGACGATCTATTGATATTGAGTAGCAATGACCAGAAAAATTCATCACCTAATGGCTACCTTTCTCTCCACAATTAATGCTTACTTAGACTGGTAAGTTAGATAATAATCACAGATTCCATCCCTGGCTCAGTCCTCAAAGCCTTTCTAGCTTGGTTGTCCATGTTAATGCTCATGCCCCACTGGCTTACGATCATAGATCTTGAGCTAGAAGGAGCCCCAGAGATTGTCCACGCCAACACCTTAATTTTATACAGGGGGAAAACCGAGGCCCAGAGAGGTTAAGTGATTTGCCCAAGGTCGCACAGGTAAACTTCAGAAGTAGACTTTGAACACAGGTCCTCTGACTTCAGAATCAGTGCTCAGAGAATCAATATCTCCTTCCACACCCTGATGAAGAAGGACCTCAGTGAACAAAATCTATAAGGTATCTGATAATATTCGTGGGATTCAAAGAGCTCAAAGCTAGAAGGGTCAGAAGAGATGATTTAATCCGATGGATTCATTTGACAGCTGAGGCAATCTAAGTATCAGAGGCTAGGGCCGGGGGACACAAAAGAAAGGCATAGTTTTGAGTGGATTTATCATCCTGATTCCTGAGCCCAGGGGCACTGGATCCTGGCATTGTTTATCCTTCCCTTTTCTACATAGTATATAAGGTGGACTACATGAGACTACATGGAGTTATAAATAAAGAGCTGGCCTCAGAGTCTGGAACACCTGGCTTCAAGTCCCATCTCTAACACACAGTAGCTATGTGACTCTGAGCAAATTTCTTAACCTCTCAGTATCCCCAAGAGAGTCTCAGGGGCTATAATGCAGAGCAGGTGTTCTGCATTGATAGAGAAAGTTCTCTACACTAATGAAAGCACAGCTCTGATAAAAAAAAAAAATCCCAAATAGAGGCTGGGCATTTTCCTTACCCCAATCAGGCTTTTAAGGCCGGCCCTGCTCTGGGTCCAGGATGTCTGCAGGAAGTAGCTCTTCCTGCTGTATTGATTCATATTCTTCAATCTCTTGAAACTTCTGTTTCCCCCTTCTTGGCCAGAGCCAAATTAAACATTAACCCTTTCCAACCCAAGTAAAAAAAAAAAAGCTTGTTTCACTAACTGCTTTACCTCCATTAGGGATAGCACCTTTTAAAGATTGGGAAGTTAGCATGGAATACTGGAGTAAGCACTGGATTTGAGGGCTGGGGGCTCCAAATCCTGGCTCTGTTATTTACTACTTGTGTGACCTTGGACAATTCACTTAACCTCTCTGAGACTGTTTTCTCATCTGTAAAATGACAAGGTTGGACTACATGATCATTAGGTCCCTTCCAGCTGCAAATCCTATGACGTCATCCTAAGTGGACATCATGTCCCTATCACATTTCCCTGGCTTGGATGATAATTCAAGCTCCCAGTTTCTCTTAATACAAAACTCCCGCTTTATTAAACTCACAACTTGCTACTACAA